GGTACCAGGCTCAACTCGTCGGCATCAGGCAGCCAGCTGGGTGGATTCGAGCACCCACGCCTGTGGAGAAATGACCAGGCGGAGTATCCAACCCTCTCTAACCATATGGCGAATATGCGCATATATATATATATAGATATACGTATATGTATAAATGTATATGTATGTAAATGAGACAGCATACTACAGCATAGGTTGGCATGTTTCGATATGCAGGGGCGGGGATTCTGATTCGCATGCTCGACCGCTAACTCCATACAAAGAGCAAATCAGATATGCCCCCTTCAAACGAAGCGGCCCCGACACGCCAAGACCATGCCGTCGCAAACTAAGCTCCCTCTGGCCTGCAGGCCGCAGCCCCTGACGCAGACCGAGGGCTCCTCTGAGCCCGCGTGCACCGTCAATACGCGGCGCCGACTGTCGGCTCGAGGAGCAAGAGGAAGCAAAAGAGTGAAACACCAGTGCTGGTAGTACTGTTCTCAACCCTCCTGCTCTGGGTCGTGTTTTCCAGCTTCGGAGCCGAACGCCCTAAGAGAAAATAGGAATGGCACGATTTTTGTTTCTTGGACCTCTCTTGGGGTGCCTCTCGGAACGTCTTGGGGTGCTTTTGGGAGCCTTTTGGCGCCTCTTGGCGGCATTTTGGCGCCTCCTGGAGCCTCTTGGGCCGGAAGCTCGGAATTCGAGGTTGGCTTTCTCCGTCTGGGACCCCTCTCGAACTCGTCTTGGGGCTCTCGTGGGCCGTCTTGGGGCCGTCCTGGGCCACTCGTGCGCAGCCTTGGAGCGCGAAGCGCGCGCGTGGTTCTAGCTAGGATCGTCACCGTCGTCATCATGAACATCACCATCGCCATCATTCCCCCCGCCAGGGCTAATGTACATCGTTTCTGGATGCTTCTGGCCAGAATACGAAAGGAGTTTCTGTAGTTAGTCTCTGGGGAAAGTCGCGGGGAAGCTTTTGTTGTATTTGGTGTTGCGTCGCCAGGAGGTATGGGCTCCCTCCTCCTCGTGTTCCTACCTCCTCTCTGGACGTCCGATGTCGTGATGCTTTCTGTGCGCGGCCCCTGGACCTCTCGACGACTTCCTGGGGATGTGTGTTTTTTCATCCTGAGTCGTTTTCTGACGGTCCCGGGACCCTGCGAGGGGCCCCGGAGGCCGAAAATTGACCGAAACCGCCGTCGTGATTCTTCCAAGACGTCGGAGGTCCAGGTCGTGCTTCCCGCCTCCCCAGACCTCCGACGTCGTAATTTTTGCTACCTCGGGCCCAGGAATCGATTGGGAAAACGCACATGGCAAGGCAAGAAATGATGGACCCATCATTTCGCACCTGTGCCTTGATCAGTGGGACGGGCTTCGCACCGCCGCACATCACAAGACACGCTCGAGCGGATCCAGCCGTGGCGACGTCGGGGACTGCAGAAGGTCGCAAGGACACGGAATCTGAAAGGAAGAAAGAGAAAGAGAGAGAAAGAGAGGGAGAGAGAGAGAGAGAGAGAGAAACAGACAGACAGAGAGCGAAGGAGAGAGAGAGATGGATATATATAGAGAGAGAGAGAAGAAGACAGACAGAGAGAGAGGCAGAGAGAGGAAATGGAGAGGAGGCGAGCTTGAGTCAACGAAAGTCGCAGGGAAGGGGGCAGGGGGAAGAAGGCCAGAGAGCGCTGAAGGATACAAATACTGGAACCCTCTTGGGATTTTTTGGGGGGCCTCGTCCGGCCGCTCGCTGGGAGTTTGACGTAGCTTCTCGGGAGCCTCTGAACCTGTCGGGGGCCTCCTGGAAGCAGGTTCGAAGCATTTTGGGGGCCGATTTGGGGCTTCTCGGGGCCTCCTTTGGGCCTCTTGGGGGTCTCCTGGGGCCTCTTGAGGGGCCTCCTGGGGGCCTCCTGGCGGCCTCTTGGGGCGGAAGGCTCGAGCTTGCGGTTCGTGGTCCCCCTCTGGGCCCCCTCTTGGGCCCGTCTTGGGGCCCTCTTGGGCCATCTTGGGCGCCTCTTGGGCCGTCTTGGGGCCCTCTTGGGCTGTCCTGGGGCCCTCTTGGAAGTTTCTTGGGCCGTCTTGGGGCGGTCTTGGGCGCCTCTTGGGCCGTCCTGTAACGTCGGAAAGCCCAAAAGGCAACTTTGTTGAAAATGTACGTTTTACGATGGGAATGGGCTAATTTTTGCGTCTACTGGCCCTCTTGGGACGCATGTTGGAGGCTTCTTGGGGCCTCTTGGGGGCGTCCTTGGACGTCTGGAGGCTATCTTCAGCATCTCGGAGCCCTCTTGGAGGCCTCTTGGAAGTTTCTTGGGCCGTCTTGGGCGCTTCTGGGGCCGTCTTGTCTGACCGGGGAGGCCTCCGGCAAGCCCCGGCGAGCCTCCGGGCCCCCCGGAGCCCACATTTGCGGTCGAGGTCCCGGCCCCGGGCCCCCAGACCCGGTGCGCCGTTATATGTATATATATATATATATATATATATATATATATATATATAATATTATATATCCCAGGAAGGCGACGCTCAGGCCTTCCTGCCGTGCTCGGAAAGGCACCCTGACAAAACAACGACTCAACTATACGTCGCTGAATTGGGGTCGGCGGCAGAGGCGGCAGCCTTTAAAGTTGAAATGCAAGGCGCCCTGCTCTATGTGCCAAATTTTGCCTTCTACGCCTTCAAACTTTGACCACTGCGGGTGCTCATCGCGCGCGCCCTGAGCTTGGAAACGGAGACCGTCGTCTCCCTTCGCATCCACCCGCGCACCCGTGAGTTTCAGCTCTTGGATATCAGCCACCAACGATGACCCTGGAACCTGGAATCGCGAACGCGGCAACCAGGCCGCCCACAGAAGTCGGCCGCCCACTTTCGCCAAATCCTTCAAGATCCGCTAGGACCCCGTCAGTGCAAACACTGATTGGGGGAATGTTGAAAGCGGCAGCCCCCGAAGAACTCACTTGACCCCAAGGGGCTATACGCCGTCCTCTTCCTCCTACTTTTCCTTCTTGCACTCGCCGTCGTTGTCGTCCATTGCGTTCTCGTCCTGCTTCTCTCTCGTTCTCGGGGGGTCGGCGGAACGTATGATGTCACTTGGATGGTAGCGCGCATGTCAGAACAAGTGGGAAAATCCAGGGCAGATCACAGTCCGGCAAGTTTCTGCGTCAACGCCCATGGCGGCAACTCGTTCCCAGAAGATGGCAACGGCCTCCGCATAGACAGGGCCGTCGTACGGATCTGTCCAGCCTTGGAGCGCTTCGGTGGAGTGCCTGTACGAGCTGTTAAAGCACTTGCCGCTGTGAGGGTCTCTGGGGCCGTCGCCACAGGCGCGCATTTTCTGTTTTGTCCCCTTGCCGGGGCGGAAGTTGAGAAAATCGCGGGAGCTGCAGCGGCTCCCAAATAGTGCGTGGAACAAGCATACTGAGAGAGACCACTCTTCAACCAGACCCACAAACACAAACCCTGTCCGAAGCCTCTCGATTGCAAGTGAAACCCTGCTTGCGTTGGCTGGGTCTCTACAGTCGCACCGATGACCAGTCAACATGTTTGCGTAACACCCAGCTACACGTTGGCCGTATTCAGATATGTTTCCCTTGAAATTCCTGCAATCATGCCGCCCATGCTCATACGAAGACGTAATGCGTTGTTCTGGCTGGCGAAACAGTGTCACAAAATTTCCACGATGCAGGTTCCAGTTACGGCAACCACGGACCACTTTCGTAGGATTCCCTGTCAAAGTTGGATCAGTTGGACCGCACCAAGGACACGCCTGCATTTCAAGTGAAATTGGGTTGTGGTTCTCGCACAACGTAAACCCCGGATAGCACGACGAATGGAATTTAGATGCTAGTGCTGAAAATAAGACGTGTCCTGATCCTCCCCCACCCGCGTCCGACACAGATTCGTTTGAAGGCATGGTTGGGCAACCAGCTGTCAAGAACGCGTTCATAATGGATGTCCCGGTTTTGGGGAAATGCACCCACGCCATCTTACTTATATCTGCATAGCTGTGAGACAAAGTTGTGCGCTTCCCAACCAGAGGAAAGCGGCCAAGAACACTCGCCTTGCTGGTTGATGACTGATTCGGCAATGCAGGTGCCTCCGTTTGATGAGATATCGAACGTGCATCGGCATGCAAACTCTTTACTCTAAGCTCATCAGAGGGAAGGCGGTTGGGCACACTTGACAAGATGGTACGGGATATGCCGGCGAAAAAGACCGATAGTCCAGATATCAATAAAACCAAGCACAATAAACAAATGGCCAAGTAGTGTATGCCAAACCCAGGTAGCATGCTGCGGCGAATAATATACTTGGCACCAGTGGCTTACACCGAAGTAGCTATTACTGGAACAATGGACAAACACTTGAGCCACCCTTGAGCCGGTGGCTACGGGGCTGGTGGGGATACGCGAAGCGTCTAGAATTTCTGTACTGAGTCCCGAACGGATGAGCATCTGACCCAAATCAATGACATGTTATGAACACCACTAGTTTTAGGACACCGTGCACGCTGTAAAATACGAATGCATGTATCTTCTGGGCGCAGAAAGCGCACGGCTACCCAGCAAGACCTGGGCGCTGGGCCGGGCACAGTGGGAGAAGACGAACGAAAAACTCACGCACCAGCGCCTGATCGCCTGGCAAGCCCGAGGCCCCAGGGCAGCACGAAAGCAAGAGACAAATATCCACATCCCGAGGGCCTCTGTCGGCTCGAGATCGCGGCGACGGCCGCAGCGACCGTGCATCGACACTTCCTCGTCAATTCCGCCTCTTCCGCCGAGAGGGATTCTTGCAGCTCGGCTGCACTTGGGAGAAGCAGGGCCCCGACTCCCGTGGAGCGCCTGGAGACATGCCGCTGTCCTGGGCACCCTCGACCAGCCTGCCGCGGCGCTCTGCACCGCCGCAGGCAGTGGCTGCCTATGCCCCAGCAGCCTATGCCCGCGGCTCCCGCCCTGCCAGGAGGACCTCGCCTCGGAGCCTAGCTTGCCTGGAGAGGAGATGGAAGAGAGGGGATGGCCAGGAGACAAGCTTCTCGATGGTCAGGCAAGGCAAAGCTGCCAACCACTACGGGTTACCGAGTAGTCAGAGGTCCAATAGATCATAGAAGTGACCTCGAATGGATCGTCTCCGTTCCAACCGTAGCCAGAGTACCAAGCTGTACCGTCCAATGCCACCCAATCATAATCTTCCTCAATATGGAACCACGTCGGCGTAAGCCATACCGACGCAGACCGTAAAGCGATGATGCAAGACTCGCTGTTACCGTAATCGTACGGGTAGTTCGCGCTCCTCACGCAGCCGTCGGAATACGTGCAGGCGCCAACGACAATGAAGGGATTCGTTGTCGGGGCCCCTGAGGTCGTGCGTCCCGTGGTCGAAGAAGTCATCGTCGAAGAAGTCACCGTCGACCCGAAGAGCTCGAAAAGGTCTCCGTCGAGGAGGTCAGCGTCGATGACTCCGTGGTCGTGTGGCCTGTGGTCGTCGAGGACTCCAACGTATTACTTGTCGACGTGTTGCTCGATGCCGATGTGGTCGAGCGGCGCCCGCCTCCGCAAGCGCAGCACATGTCGGCAGGGCTGAAGTCCGCATCGTCGTAATAAGTTGCCCATTCGCAAACCGAAGGGTACCAATCCTACTTGAGGCATCCACTCAAATCGGTTCCTTCTTGTGCATAGCTCATGGCGCCGTCGTTTGTGTCCGCGCACAACTCGTACAACTGCTTTGTGTAGACCCCGCCCCCCTTGCAACCGCAACAGGATTCCTCCGAGTCCCGAAGGTAGCAATCATCATACCATACATTCCAGCTATGACCTTCCCGAAGGCATCCTGTGTTGGGCTCCCTGTCTGCACACATTGTTTCATTTCCAATCCCAATGCAGACACAAGTGGATCCGCCATAGCCGCAGTAATACACGCCAGCAGTGTTCAATGTAGGCCGAGGTTGCAGAGAAGAACCTACAGCACAACAGTGCAGACCCCACTCGTCAGTATCCACAATTACGTATGCACTCGTGGTCAATCCGAGTTCCTGCGCAGCGAAGGAACATCGATCCTGATCGGCGGTGATGGGCCACTGGCAGTATCCATCATCCCTTGTGTGGACAGGTATTCTTACGCCCCTACCAGAGAAATACGGATATTCTGGTATAGCTCGAATCGAACCGACGTATCCAGCGTCGCAAACACAACCATCTGCCACCCCATTGCCACCAGCTATCACCACTGAATTTGCAGGGCAAGAGACGTCCGAACAATCGTCGCTCTCGCCGTCGTCTCGCTACCCTGCTTCACAAGGCGTGCACTCCACGGCACCGCCGACGACGGCCCGGCGACGTGTTGAGCCACCTTCGCATTGCACGCAGTCGTCGGAGCTCCCGTCGTTGTAGTAGCCTGGGTGGCAGTCGGTACATACCGCTGAGCACCGCCTCGTCGTGGAGCAACTCAGAGCCGCCGCACACTCGTCCGAGGTCATGTTCTCGGACTTGTAGGTGCCGCCAGGGCAATCCGCGCATGCCGCTGCCCTCCTGCGCCGGGTCGCACCGCCGAGACACGAGGTGCACTGGTCGTTGTCGCCGGCGTCGGAGGTGCCAGGGTCGCAGTCCGTGCAGGATGTGGGGCGCCGCCGCCGCGTCTGGCCGTCCAGGCACTGCGCGCAGTCGTCCAGGCTCCCCAGGTCCTAGTGGCCGTCTGGGCACTCCCGTGCAGGAGGTGGATCGACGCCGCCTCGTCTCGCCGTCGGTGCACTTGTAGCACGTCGGGAGTCCCCCGTCGTTGTGGTAACCCGCGGTGCACTCCTCGCTGTACCAGGGGTGCACGTGAGCGCACGCCTCCTCCGCCGCGTCGTCGTAGCACGCGGTCAGGACGCAAGTTGCAGGGCATTCGTCCAGTCCTTTGGGCTCGTCGCAGCCGCAGGCGACGGGGCAAAGAAACTTGATGTGTTGATGCACCCCGTCGGCGCAAAGGTCGAGGTTCAAGAGGGACGTGACCTCGTAGGAGGCGAGGAAATCGCAGCCAGTCAGGCCTCGCGGGTGCGGCAGCCCCTGTACCAGGTCCCAGCTGCCACCCGCCAAAGATCGGGCCATCTCGCCCGTGGCGATCTGCTCGATGAGCTCGATCTGGGTGGCCTCGTCGGGGGCGATGCCGGCGTAGTCCGTCTCGACAACGTTCGCGACGCCCTCTCGGAACCCAGGCACGCGCATGGAGTACTCGAACAGGCCACTTACGTACAGCACGAACACGATCGCCTTCGGCGGCAGGCGCCAGCAGGCCTCGGTGAAGTGGTCGTAGCACTCGAGCGAGCTCCTGCCGTCACCGTAGCCACCCCCGCAGGCGCAGCAGTGCTCGGCCGCCTGGAAGTCGTCGTCGGCGGAGCCGCAGCCCTCGGGCGCCAGGGCGTAGACCGTGCAGTCGTAGTCGTTGCCGTTCTTGTCCACGCGCGTCTCTCCGTTCGAGTCCGAGCACCCGCCGCCGAAGCCTAAGTCGGCGGCATGGAGATCGGCACACCCCTCGAACACCGAAGTGAGGACGGTGCTGTTGCGGCAGCCTCCGGGGTCGGCCACCGTCCAATCCTGGTCCCTGGGGGTCGTCGTCTCCGTCGAGGTCGCGGTTAGGTTCGCAATGTCTGACGGGTCGTCGGGCGAAAGCCGCCTCTGGTCGGCCGCCTCGGACGCCTCCCAGAGACGCTGGTCCGCTTCGTCGGGCCCTCTTGCATGCAAGCGCCTGGCTGTCTTCAGCTTGGTCAGCCGGAACCTGAAGTCGATCTCGTTCTTCGCAGCTTTGAACGTCTCGCACTGGCTCGGGCACCCAAACTCGGGCATCTGGAAGAAGCCTGTGTTACTCAGAAGGGTCTCTTCGCATCTGCAGTGCCTGGGGCAAATTGCGCGTAACCACGTCTTGTTCTGGAACGCGCAGTAGTCCCGAAGGATGTCGCTGCAACTGCTGATATTGGAGACCAAACCGTCCCGAGCCAACAACACTTGCAAAGTCTTCAACGAAGCCTCCTGGCTCTGACCAGAAGCGAGGTCTCGGCATGGGAGCGTCAAGGCAGCCTCGGCCATGCTCGAAACACTCATCTGAATGATTGAATCGAGCGAAACTGCCGCTGTCCCGCGAGCATGAACGGCCCTATCAAAATCCGATACGGTAGCATCGAAAATGACCTGGTCGACAAAGCTATCCCAATACGGGTGATCATGGATGACGACCTGCGCCACCTGGGCAATGATCTCTTCTGTGTCCTTGTACACGTTCTCACCCGCTGTGGACGCCACGTGAACCATCTGAGCGGCGGGGCTTACGGCATAGATGAAATCTTGATTGCCAGGGCACACGATACTGTGACCCACCTCGAGTTCCCAGAAGACTCTCTGCAACAAGAGAAAATAGACTGCGAACATTACAACTATGATGAACACGGCCGTGGATACAGCGCATGCGCCGGACCATGCGCTGCCTGGATTCGGGCGGCGGAAAGGCAGAGGTTCGATGTTGGACATCAGAGTCTTGGACCGCCGCGGGACGAAGACGGAGTAAAGCACCTCGTCGAACTCGAGGACGAAGGCCAGCGCCACGCCGTTCAGGATGAGCTCCGAGAAGTTGATTGTGTTGGCCAACCACATCGCCCCTACCAAGTAGAGCAGGACTGCCAGGCACGCTTTGGAATCCCCACCGCAGTGATGACAAGCATCTTGCGCATCAGTGCCATAGAGGTTATGCGCACGACTTTCATAAAATCAGCAAATTTATTCCCGCTGTCGCGGTCTGAGGATGATGAGCTCGCGTATTCTATATCGTCATGCTCGTCACGCAAGTCTGCAAGCACCATTCTGGTTAATCTGCATTTCGGGATCCTCCAGACCGCTGTCATGACGCTCATGGTGTTCTCGATATCCTTCAGGATCGTACAGAGCCACAGATACTGTATAAAACAAATCAGAAGCTTGGCCGGAAGCCCTCCGGTAGCGAAGTCGTTCAAGTCTCTAAACAGGTCCACCTGCTCACCGGCCAAGTGCAGCTTCCGATCGAAGCTGTACACTTGTGCAGCCATCGACCGCTCAGTCACCTTGTCCGCGTACTCTGCCCTGTGCGCCAACCTAAGTCTAAACTTGAGGAGGCCGTCGAGATTTTGTGGAGAGATCACCTCCTCCATCAAAAGGTGTTGAACCAAGAATATGAACATGCATTGCAATGCCAAATTTAGGACATATATTCCCCACAATACAGATGTATTCAGACTGCCGATTGCTGGGTGACCCGCGAACATCAAGACGTCCCAAACTGACTCGTTCAACTCGTACATGTCGCCGCAATCGAGCATCACTGCTGACACATACTCGCGACGCATCGGCGACCTTGAGTTCTGCACTTGTAGCTGTCCGTCCTCGTCCAGACCCGTTCCAGTCCAATGCGACTGCTCGCGATTCTCGTCCCAATCGCCGCCCTCGGCCTCGAAGGTCGCCTCTTGGGAAGTCTCCGAAACATTCGGCTCGTACTGCCTCGGGCCTCGGTTCTTGGGTATCTGTTGGGGTCTCGTGGCATGCGTCTCGGGCCCCTCATGGAGCCAGTTTTGAAGCCTCTGGGGGCCTCTTGGGGGCTGTCTGGGGGCCACGTGGGGCCTCCTTTGGGCCTCTTGGGGACCTCTTAGGGCCCTGCTGGGCTCGAAATGTGACCCCCCTCTCTTGGACCGTCTTGGGGCACTCGGCCTCTCGGGCCGTCTTGCACGCTGCTAAGACCGAAGAAGCGAAGATGCTGAAAAATCGACGTCTGCCTACAAGAATTTCGGCAATTTGGGCCATCCGGGGCGCTCCTGTGAGAGCATCCTTGGGATTATCTGGAATCCGTCTGGGGCCATCCAGAAGCAATCGTGGGGCCGCTCGAATGCCAGAATCGTGTCTTGGACGACTCTTGAAGCCAAATCAATCTCCCAGGGCGCCGAAAAAGAGGCCCCAGACCCCTGGGGCAAAAATGAATACCCATGGGGGGGAGTTTTGGAAAAATGGGCTCCCCCTGGGCACAGGGACCCGGCTAGCTAGGCTGGATGGTCGAACTCTTGGGGATCTCTATTCCGTGAAACTTCTTCTCTGGGGCTTCCAAGAACCATGAAGAGGGCCCAAGTGGCTTCCAAGACTTCCTACGGTCCACCTGCGACGGCTTAAGACAGGCCCATGAAGCACTTCGGGGGCCCTTTTATTCGCCGCGGCCGGACGTAGCGGGAGGGACAGGGAGGAGGAGGGGAGGTGGAGGGGTTCCATTGGGGAGAAGGGGAAGGAGGATGAGGAGGAGTTGGAGAGGGTGGAGGTGGCCGCAGAGAAGCAGGAACCAAAGGAGGAAGAGGACGAGGAGGAGGAGGAAGAGAAAATATGATACGTTGTTTTGCAAGCGTAGCGAAGCTTCCGGGCGAACTTCACGAAAAGAAATGTTGGAATCCCCGTTTTTCTCAAGTGCCCTCGGTGCCTCTCTCAGGGCTCTTTTGGGCCTCTTAGGGGCTTCTTGCGGACCTCTTAAAGCCTCCTAAGGGGGTCTCCTGGGGCGAAGATCTCGGGTTCTCGGTTCACGTTTCCGATCCTGGGCCGCGGTTGGGGTTCTCTCGGGCTGTCTTGGACATCTCTTCGGTGCTTTTCAACTATATAAGGCCGTCTTGGCGCGCTTTTGAAGCCTATTGGGCCGTCTTAAGGCGATCCTCGGAGCCTCTTGGAGCGTTTTGCAGCTTCGGGAAGCAGAACAGGCGGAAAACGCCAAACTTGTTCAAAAAGCTATGGAAGATAAATGTTGTCTGGCCACTTCGAGCTCTGTTGGGAGACCTTTTGGAAGCCTTTTGGGTATCTTGGGGCCTCTTGGGCCGTCTGGAGGCTGTCTTGGACCATCGAGTGGCCTTCGGCCCATCCCGCCACCGTGCCTGGGTTGTGGGTTAGAGGCCTCTTGGAAGTTCGTTTGTATTTCGTGGGAGGGTCCCCGCGGACCTCTTGAAGGCAGGTTTGGAAGCCTCTTGGGAGCCGTTTGGGGTGTTCTTGGGGCGTTTGGGGGGGCCTCTTCAGGGCCTCGTGGGGCCTCTAGGGGGCATCTTGGGCTCTGTTGGGGGCCTCTTGGGGCCTCCTGGGAGCCTCTTGGGGCGGAAGGCTCGAATTGTCGGTTCCTGTTCCCCCTCTTGGGCCCCTCTTGGGGCCGGGCGGGGCCCTCTTGGGCGATCTCGGGCGCCTCTTGGGCCGTCTTGGGCCACTCTTGGGCCGTCTTGGGCCACTCTTGGGCCACTCTTTCGCCGACAGGAATGTGACACATTTGGTCTCTTGGGATTCTCTTGGGAGTGCTCTTGGAGGCCTCTTGGAACGTCTCGGAGCCTTCTTGGACCATCTTGGGGCCATCTTGGGCAGTCTTGGGCGACTCGGGGCCTTCTTGGTCCTTCTTGGGCGCCGTCTTGGGGCCAACTTGGTCGCCTTAGGCGGCCCTTGGGCCGTCTTGGCGCCCTCTTGGGCTGGCTCGGGGGCCTCTTAGGAACGTCTTGGGCTATGTTGGGGAAATCTTGGGAGCCTCTTGGACCGCCTTGAAAGCCGCGACAGCTGAAAAGTCGCACATGCAAAAAATCGACGTTTCCCGACAGGAATGTAATGATTTGGGCCTCTTGGGTCCCTCTTGGGAATGCTCTGGGAGTCCTCCTGGGCCGCATTGGGCAGCTCGCGACCTTCTTGCGCCGTCTTGGGGGCCTCTTGGAACCCTCTTGGCTCGTTTTGGCACCCTCTTGGCCTCTCCGGGCCGCCTCTGGGGAGCGAAACGGGGGGGGTATCAGCGGGCTTCCGCCGATGGTTGCGGGGTCGGCCGGCCCAGGCTGGGGGGGGCCTATTTATTTATACGATGTATATTGCACAACACAGATTGCGCCACGTGCACTGCACCACACAGATGGCTCCACATAGATTGCAGAACACACATGGCTGGAAGCACACTGCTTGGGGCCCACGCCAGTTGACATGTGCGCTTGACCCAGGGAGTGGGAAGAAGCCTGCCTCTCGGGGTTCTCTTGGGCGTCGTCTGGAAGCGCTGCTGGGGCGTCTTCGGGGCTTCTGGCGCTGCTCGAGACGCCTCGTTGGCCGCCTGAGACTCCTCCTCCTCCTCCCCCTCCCCCTCCTCCTCCTCCTCCTCCTCCTCTTCTCCTCCTCCTCCTCCTCCTCCTCCTCCTCCTCCTCCTCCTCCTCCTCCTCCTCCTCGTGGCCCCAGGGCCCCCCCGGCCCGGTCCCCCGTCATGCGTCTATTCCCGCCGCAATCCTTGGAGATTTGGTCCCTCTCACATGACCTCAGGCTGCCTTGGCCTGTCAGGTGGCAGTAGATTAGAGCACTCGCTGAAGAGCCACATGCCTCAGGTTTGATTGCCACGCGAGCAGGTCAGGTCCCGACTTTCACATGCACATGGAGCCACCTGTTTGTTTCTTGCAGTCCTCGATGTAAGCTTGACGGGACTTGCTTAGCGTCTCTGAGTCGGCGCCCACAGCATAGTGTGCAATGACGCTTACCATGACGATGCTGACGCAGAGAGCACCAAAGGCCAAAATGAGCTCCTGCCTGCCCGACGAAAACGTGGAGTACGCGGTCACCACCAAGCGTGCCGCCAGCAGAATGCCGCTGAGGCAAGCCATGGGAAAGCTCCCCGCCTCGATGGGGCCCTGGAGGTCGTCATCCGCCACCCAGAAGTCCAGCATCGACGCCACGGCGAAGTACCCCGTCAGGCCTACGGCGTCGCAGACGAAGAGCGCGTTGACAAGCTCGAGCTGCTCGCCTTTGAACCTGCCCAAGAGCGTTCCGATGATGGCCACGAGCAGGCCCACACCCGCAGCGAGCATCGTAAGAAAGAAAAACAGCGTAAGCAGGGGCCAGCTTGGAAGCGCCTGGGAGCTTCGGAGGAGGCTTCCTGGAAGCCGCAAGGGCCTCCGAGAAGCCGCCTGCATCCTCGGGAGCGCCCACGGCGCCGCCCCGCCCTCCCTGCAAGAGCCGCACCCCTCGCGGCGATCGCGCCACCCCCGCGTGCGCGCCGCCAACTGAGCTCGTGCATCGCGCCAAAGAAGGGCAAGATCCACGAGAGGAGCGAGAAGCCACCGAGAAACGTCTTCGCAGTGCCGAGCAGAAGGCCTATCGCCACCGAGGCCCAGAAAGCGACACGCTGCGCCAGGCTCTGCGCGGGCAGCTCCCCGTCCTCGCCGCCGGCCTCCGGCTGCGTCAGCGCGTCCCGCTCGGACATGGCAGCCGCACTGCGCACCCCAGCGCGGCTCGGCCCCTGCCCTTTCGAGCCGCAGTGTGGCCTGAGCCCACAGGTCGCGAGCTGCGGAAGGTGCACATCCCCCAGGGTGCCCCATGCCTCGCTCAGTCCTGGTCTTGGAACCCCTGGGGCCCTCGGGACCTCGGGGGCGGTGCCCCGGAGGCCGCGGGGGTCTTCCCGACAATCCTGGGGACGCGCTGGGCCAGGGGCACCTCTGGCAGCACCCGGACGGGCAACCAAAGCTGCGACGAGCCGACCCCGGGGGAGGGGACGGGGAGGGGCGGAGCAGCGCACCGTGGCCCGACGCGCACGTGCGCGGGCGAGCGGGTGCCAGGGGAGTGCTGCAGGAGGAGGCAGCCATGCTGTCTGAGCCATCTCATGACCCTGGCCACATGATGCCCCCACCAAGATCCTCCCCCCCCCTCTTTGACGCCTCCCCCCAATAACAGGGCTCGAGGCAACCCAGGTCTGCGACCCGAAGCGGCCGCGCAAGGCTTCGATACGTCTGGGCCAGCCGTCCCGAAACAGGCCGGTCAACCAGGCCTCTGGCCAGGCGAAGCAGACCGCAGCGATCAAGACTCGAGTCGCGCGCGTCGGATCGGATCGAAGCCAGAATCCAAGAATTGACGACCTACCAGCCCACCCCAACCCAACCCGAAGACCCGAATGTTGCCCGAATTTCGGGTAGGGGGGTGGTGCGGGCTTCATATGTGTTTTTCGATGTTCCCCGACCCTCCCCCACAGGAAATGGAGGGCAAATCGGGGTCTTCGGGTTGGGTTGGGGTGGTTTGGTAGGTGGTGAAGAGTCCCCGATCCCGACGCCGTGGTCTCTTCGCAACGGCCTCCTGCAGATCTCCACCTCTGGGAGGCCTCTTCCTCCCGAGTCTCTCCTCGACGGCCCCAGAGCTCGGCGGATCCCACAGGGCACAGAAAAGGAACCGAACATGATGTTGCTCCCATCGTACTTGAGGACCAGATTCAGGAGCTGGTGTGTGGAAGGGGCGGGAGCAGGAGGGACCAGGGGAAGGCGGAGGAGGGAAAATGAGCGGCGCGAGCGGTGAAAAAGGACCCAGAGAAGTGGCCCGCTCTTGTGCGAGGGCGCCGTTCTTAACGACGGGTGAACAACGCCGATGCGAAAACGAGGCCCACGCTGCAACGGGAGCATCTTTATAAGACACCGAAAATTATCCCAGTGCGACCCTACCTAGGAGTGGTGTGCTGTGCTGTGCTGTGCTGTGCTGTGCTCTGCTGTGCTCTGCTATGCTATGCTGTGGATGCTGTGTTGCGCTGTGCTAGGCTATGTTATACCTAGCAGCAACAATAGTGGATGCTGTGCTGCGCTATGTAATGTTATGCTTTGCTACGTTATGCTCTGCTCTGCTCTGCTCTGCTCTGCTATGCTATGCTATGCTATGCTATGCTGTGCAATGCTGTGCAATGATGTGCAATGCTATGCTGGGCTAGGCTAGGCTAGGCTAGGCTAGGCTATGCTGTGCTGTGCTATGCTATGCTGCGCTATGCTATGCTGCGCTATGCTATGCTATGCTATGCTATGCTATGCTTTTGCTTTGCCTTCGCTGTTGCCTTCATATTTGCCTTTGCTGTTGCTTTTGTTTGGCACCCAGGGAGCGCAACTGGGGGAACCGCGCGTTTGTGTTTACCTTTGCTGTTGCTTTTGCTTGGCTCCCAGGGGACCGGGGGAACCGCCCCGGGCGTGTTCCACTGCCCGGCCCTTTAAGCGAAACGAGTAAGAACCCTTCTAGGCAGAGCCTAGGTAGGGAACAATCGCAGAGTACTAAACATGACAAGATCGATGTTCGAACTCCTTCGTGTGTAGCAAACAATGCGCGGAAATGACCGAGCATCGTCCAGACAGGATCAAGGGAGAGGTGGCGCAGGAGGAAGAGGAGAACGAGGAGGAGGAGGAAACGGAGGAGGAGGAGGAGCAGCAGCAGCAGCGGCTGGAGGAGAACGAGCAGGAGGGGGAGAATGAGCATGAGGAGGAGGAGGAGGAGGAGGAGGAGGAGGAGGAGGAGGAGGAAGAGGAAGAGGGGAAGGAGAAGGAAAAGAAGAAAAAAGATAAGGTAACGAAGCAAAAGAAGGAGGAGGAGCAAGAGGAGCAGCAGCAACATCCGAGTCGGCATGCTCGGTGGGTTCCCGCCCGCGCTGCCCCCCCGGGGGCACGGAGAGTGGCGCCCGCGCCCCCGGGCACAGGGCACGGGCGCCAGCGCGACACCAAACAGAAAGGCAGCCGCACTGCCCAAAGATCTGTGCGCTGCAATTTTGTCACGCCGCGCGTGTCACTGCACCGGCCTTGCAAACGTGCTGCAGCGGGTTACTGCGTGGATTTCAGTCAATGCAAAACCCGAAACGGCGATCGAACAACGAAGCGAAATTCACGTGGATGTTCTTGTAGTCTGCGCTCCTGGCCAAAAAATCCTCACGAAATTCACTCCGAAATCCAAAGCGAAACTCTCCAGGACAATCCGGGCCCGTCTCATTGTTTTCCGAATAAACTCCGCTCTGCTATGTTGACGCCACGACGCGTTCGCTTTTCGCAAATCAGTCCGGTTCGATAAACGCAGCAAAAGCAACAGAAAGATGGAGCATAGGATGGTTCGCGAGGTTGCATGTTTTCGCGACGTCGGATCTCAGAGGATTCCTCTTGCCTCGCGGGGTGCACGTCCCGAGCATGCAAAAACTGGGCGTTTGGTGGTTTGCCCTGCTCGTCTGCCGCGCTGTTCTGCCGTGTCGTTCTGCCCGCCCTGGGGCTCTGACAGCGCCATGGAGGGCAGATGCGCCCCCCTCTTTCAGCGTCGGGACGAGCGTGCGAACATCCACGAACAAGGGCAGTGAGCATCCACCGCGTGTCAGCACGAGGCAACGCCAAGCTCAAACACCGAAAAACGCAGCAACGAACCGCTTGAGGCCGTTTGGGTGCTTCTTGGGAACCTCTTGGGGGCTTCCCCTTTGGGGGCCTCTCGGGGCCTCGTGCGGGCCCCTGCCGTCGTGGGGCGCTCTGGCGCCGTCTGGCCCCTCCCGAGGCCATCCTGGGGGCCTCTCGGGGCCGCCCCTGCGGCTCCCTTGGGGTCCTCTCGGGGCCGCCTTGGGGGCCTACGGGGGCCGTCTTGGGGGCTTCTTGGGGCCATCTTCGAGCCTTCTCGGGCCTCCTTGGGAACCCTCTCGGGGGCCTCTGGTGCCGTCTGGGGGCCACATTGAAGGCTGCTTGGGCCGCCCTGGGCCCACGCGTCGAAAAACGCGAAAGTATTTGGCCACTGGGGGTGCTCTTGGGGACCCCCTTGAGGCCCTCTGGGGCCGCCTTAGGGGCCTCGTGGGCCCTTGTGGGGCAATCTTGGGCCGTCTTGGGCCGTCTGGAAGCGAAGCCATGCTGAGCCGTCTGGAGGCCCGGTTGGACCCCCGAGACGCCCAAGAGGCTCCCGAGGCCGATATCATATATGTTCCAGACGTTTCTTGGTGCGCTCTTAGGGCCTCAGAAAGGGGTGCTGCCATTTGGGTCCGCCGATGTGGCGCGACCCCAAGGGGGAGGAGGAGGAGGAGGAGGAGGAGGAGGAGGAGGAGGAGGAGGAGGAGGAGGAGGAGGATCTAGGCCAGAAGAGCATCCATCAAGGACACGAGACCCTCCGCCTGCCAAAACACACACAGAGAACATTCGAGGGTAACCCCCCACAGAGGTGCGCAAGAACGTCCAGCAAGCACGGAGAACACCAGTGGGTGACCTCCCCGAACCGACCTCGATCTTATACCTCGGTCCGACTGCATTCAATCACAGGATGTACAGGACGCGTGGCAGCGAGGCTTCCTCTCCGCTCTGCGACCTGCCTCCGGCAATACGCCACCCCTGGACGCGTGACCCTCCACCCCCTCTGCCCCGCGAGGGCCCCCGAGGCCGCCAGCGGGCGGAGGAGAAAGAGGAGGAGGAGGAGGCGGAGGCGGAGGAGGAGGAGGGGGAGGAGGAGGAGGAGGAGGAGGAGGAGGAGGAGGAGGAGGAGGAAGAAGAAGCCCCAGAGAGGCCCCGAGAGGCTCCCAGGAGGCCCCAAGAGAAGACCCCAAAGGGGCCCCAAGCGGTCTCCTCGGAGGGCCTCGCCCGTGGATCTCTCGTTCCTCTCCCGGGGGTCGGCGGAACGGCGGAGGCCTCTCGAAGGATGCTCGGGGCCCAGCTCGAGGATGTGTATGTATTAGTATGATGTGTATTCTTATTATTAATACGAGTAGTATTATGATTAGTAGTAGTATGAGTATTAGTATTATCATTCGTATTCTTATTAGTAGTGGTGATCGTATTATTAGTCGTATTAGTATGAGTTTTATTATTAGTATTATTAGTACTATTGTTATTATTAGTGTACTTCTCATTATTATTATGGATATTATTAGTATTATTTTATATAGAGGTACACACACTAGAACCACGCGCGCTTCGCGCGCGCTTCGGTTCTAGCGCGTCACGGGCACAGGAATCGCTGTGCGAAAACATGTTTGGAGCTTGTCTCAGGCAAGTGAGGACTCCAGTGGCAACACTTGCTTGAGGCACCGCTGGGGACGGACCCTGTGTAGGGTGTGGAAGGTCAGACCCGCTCTCTGGTCGACCCTCTTGGGCGCGCTCTGGGGCTCTTTTGGGCCGTTTTGGGGGGGCCCTTGGGGGGCTGTTTTGGGCCCTCTTTTGGAGCTTTTTCGGGTCTCTCGGGAGCCTCTTGGGGCTTCTTGGGCGCTTCTTGGAGCCTCTTGGGGTCTCCTGGGCGCCTCTTGGGCCAAAACGCTCGAATATTCGGTTCCTCGTCCCCGTCTTGGGCGCCGCCTTGGGGCGTTCTTGGGCGGTTTGGGCGCCTCGGCCGTGGGGGCATCCTCGACCAGCTTGGGTGCCTCTTGGGCCGTCTTGGACCCAGTGGAAGCCCCAAAGGCGAACACGCCAAAAACATTAGTTGTCCGATTGGAAATCAATGATTTGTGCTTACTTGGGGCTCTATTGGGGTGCCCCTTGAGGCGTCTTCTGGGCCTCTTTTTGTGTTTTTGCAAGTCTCTTGGGGACCTCTTGGGACTTCTTGGG